GACTAGCTTTGTGAAATGATCCCACATAAAACATTACTGAACAAAACAAAAACAGCAGACCATCTGAATGAGAACGCAAATTCACTCTCTGACAGAAGGTGGAGCTTATGGAACAGCATCGACACTACTAAAACACTACTTTAATATTCATTATGAAAAGACGAGATGAAAAAAAAAATCAAGTCAAGTAACCATTATTTATATAGCGCTTTTTACAATGCAAATTGTGTCAAAGCAGCTTTACAGTATTAAACGAGGAAATAGTGTGTCAAAATAGTGTGTCGTTCTCCTCTGGCCAGACGAAACCAGCAGTTTAATTCTAGGCTGCAACAAAGTCAGATTGTGCAGAGGACTCATCTGGTTCCCGTGGTCTTGTCCCAATGGCCGTCTAGGTGACAAGGTCTTTGCTGGGGATCTGTTTCAGGGGACATTCAAGGCTGTCAAGGTCGTCTCTAGGTGCTGATCCACCATCTGATCTGGATACATACTGGATCCTGGTGGCTACAGTGACCATATGATCCGGATACTGTCTGGATTTGGGTGGCTACAGTGACCTCGGAATAAGAATGAAACAGACTAATTGTTTCTTTTTCTGGACACGGCACTGTTCACACACTTTGTGGTATCGGCTTTTAGTATTGGGGCATTTTAATGAGTACGAGTACATGAGTGCAGTATTGGGCCCGATACCAGCATCGTATTAGAGGTGTAACGGTACACTAACATGACTGTTTGGTACGTACTTCGGTTTTGATGTCACGGTTCGGTATTTCGATACAGCAGGGGGAAAACTAAACATAATTTTTTCTTTTTTTTTTTTTTTATTAAACAGTGGTTTACTGAACAAGTGGCTCTTTTATAAATAAATTCAGTTATAATTAACATTTTCTTAGTGATAAAAATCTACCTCAGCTTATGCTTTAAACTACAGGGAGCTCTTTTACATTACTAGGTTACAATTAAAAACAGTGCCTAAACTTAAATTTAATGACTATTTATTTTTAAATATAATAACGTTCAACACTCAGCAATGCAAACATGTAAATTGCACATAATTCAGTTTTTAAATGAACTTATAAATGATAAAATTTCTATTTGTAATATAATATAATATAATTTTATATTAAATAACACAATATGAAAATAAGTATCTAACAAAGAAGAGAAATCTCTCTCATGCTATTTGTATATTATTAAGATATTTTTTTTTCTTAATTTTTGCTATGTCACACCACAGGACAAATTTGTTACAGTTCAGTAAAAATGTAAAAAAACCCAGTGAAAGAATTGAAAAAGTGACCCTTTATATTTTCTCAAAGATCAGTCTTCACACTACATATACTACTGTCTGGATTTGGGTGGCTACAGTGACCTCGGAATAAGAATGAAACAGACTAATATTAACGTAGATGCCATTCTTCTAGCGATGTAACAAGTACATCGGGTGGTATGGGAAATGTTCCCGGTTCCGGTTGACCTAATTAATGCAGCCTAAAAATGCTTCAACAGATTTGAATTATAGAAATGCGATAGTGTATTATGTGTAAGCCAGGTTAAAGAGATGGTTCTTTAATCTAGATTTAAACTGACAGAGTGTGTCTGCCTCCCGAACAGTGTTAGGTAGATTGTTCCAGAGTTTGGGTGCTAAATAGGAAAAGGATCTGCCGCCCGCAGTTGATTTTGATATTCTAGGTATTATTAAATGGCCAGAGTTTTGAGATCGTAGCGGACGTGAAGGACTATAATGTGATAAGAGCTCACTCAAATACTGAGGTGCTAAACCATTCAGGGCTTTATAGGTAATTAGCAAGATTTTAAAATGTATATGATGTTTAATGGGGAGCCAGTGCAGTGTTGACAGAACCGGGCTAATATGGTGATACTTCCTGGTTCCAGTAAGAACTTTAGCTGCTACATTTTGAACCAGCTGGAGTTTGTTTATTAATCGCGCAGAGCAACCACCCAATAAAGTGTTACAATAGTCTAACCTTGAGGTCATGAACGCATGAGTTAACATTTCTGCGTTCGACATTGAGAGCATAGGTCATCATTTAGATATATTTTTAAGATGGAAAAATCTGGTTGTACAAATGCTAGAAACATGTTTTTCAAAGGAAAGATTGCTATCAGATAGCACGCCTAGGTTCCTAACTGATGACGAAAAATTGACAGAGCAGCCATCAAGTGTTAGACAGTGTTCTAGGTCATTACATGCAGAAGTTTTTGGTCCGATAATTAACACGTCTATTTTTTAGAAAAGCAGTAAGAAATTACTAGTCATCCAGTTTTTTATATCAACTATGCATTCCTTTAGTTTTGCTAATTGGTATGTTTCGTCAAGTAACTTAGAAATATAGAGCTGAGTATCATCAGCATAATAGTGAAAGCTAACACCATATTTCCTGATGATATCTCCCAAGGGTAAGATGTAAATCGTGAAAAGTAACGGTCCTAGTACTGAGCCTTGTGGTAAAGAAACAAGAGGTTTCAGTGGAACAATTTATGAAATAGTTACATTTGTAGAAATTTAAGTCACAAGCCCACAAAACAGAACACAAAGCTGTGTTTATCTTTAAATTTGTGGTACCGGGGGGGGGGATACTTCCTCTAATGCAGGGGTGTCCAAACTCGGTCCTGGAGGGCCAGTGTCCTGCAGAGTTTAGATCCAACCCCAGTTAGACACACCTGAACCAGCTAATCAAGCTCTTACTAGGCATACTAGAAACCTCCAGGCAGGTGTGTTGAAATTAGAAGAGGAAATTCTCCAGGACCGAGTTTGGGCACCTCTGCTCTAATGCCAACATAATAGGTTCTAACATACATGTTGTTGGTTTAGATGATTTAACACCAAATACCATCTAAACTTTTCTGAAGACAGTCAGTTCCCCTCAGAAACACATTCATATAAACCCCCAAATCAATATTCAGGATTTTCTTCCAATATTTTGTGGCATCTTGAACAGTGAGCTTGCTCGTATTTTTCACATTGCGTCCATCATCTCTGGCCTCTGTTAATGGCTGTTTACAGACTTCATAATATTTCCACATAAATTAGATTTTGACATTTTGGAAAATAATTGCAATGCAGTTTGTGCAAGTGCAGAACAGCGATTAGGAAAGGAAAGGAAAGGAAAGGACGTGTGTGTTATGGTGACCCATACTCGGAATTTGTGCTCTGCATTTAACTCACACAGCACACACAGCAGTGAGTAGTGAACAAACACACACACCGTGAACACACACCATTTATGCTGCGGCGATTTATGCAGACATTCACTCCCCCACCTACAATCCCTGCCGGACCTGAGACTCGACCCCTCGACCTTTGGGTTAAATAAGAAAAATAAATAAAAGTTCCAGGGGTTCACCTCCTTCAGCCATCCTACACACAGCTGACTGACTGCTTGCCCCAACGGGGGGGGGGGGGGGGGAGGGGGAGTCGTGTTACTCTCTACGCTACACACAACCTGAGGGATTCCTACACTTTCAATCTTTGACAATACATGTAAAACAGCACACATCGCGGGAACGGTATAATGGGAAACTTTAGTGGTTTTGAAACCATGACATTTTCAAATCACGGTATACCTTGAAAGTAATCATTGGTGCTAGTAATCGGCCCATGCCTAAAATAGATCAAACCCTACTGTGTTACATATTGTAAAACTGGGGTCTATACACTGTCAAAATGTAGTGCAGTGAGGGTCAACTTCTTTTTAGGGATGTCTTAATGTGAAATTTTGTCAAAGTTTGTCGTCAAGATATCTAAGATTATCTGCAAATTTATCTTCTATGAAACAATAAAAACAAAACAAAAAAAACAACCGACATCTCTCAATGTTGGGCCTGTTTACACCTGGTCATGCATTATCTCTTATCAGGTAGCTATCTGATCGTGAAAAGATCCGGTGTTAATGCCCTCCGAAACACTTGAGACGGATTTAAATCTGATCACTCAAACCACTTCAGGAGGTCTGAGACCCATTCCAGACAAAGCTGGTCAAGTGTATGCATCTGGTGGTTGAAACCTCATATGTCATTTTTATTCCTCCCAAAATCTACACATGGCATTGCTAATGCAACATGCATCGCCACAGATGAGTAGCTGAGAATCTCTTCTGCAAGCCAACGCAGTCAATTTAAAGTACTTGTATTTAACTTGTATAAATCATTTCAACAAAAAAGTATGTATAACCTCTCAAGAAATATAAATAAAATATATATTAAAATATAAATACTCTAATATTGTGTGCAATTTAAATGTTTGTATACAATTCAGCCCTGATTATTATATCTGAAAATAAATGGCAACTGAATCTGATAGTTTGGGCTACTGGGTCTGATAGTTTACATTATGTACAATACAGCCAGTTGCATTATTCAACATACCTTCTGATGTTCATTCATGTTTATTTTGTGCTAGTAGTAAAGCAGGGGAGATGATTGGTTCAGGTGTGCTCTGTGTTTCTGCTTGAACAGAAATGAGTCTACACTGTGTGCACAATTATTAGGCAAGTTGTATTTTTGAGGATTAATTTAGTTATTGTACAACTACAGTGCTCTTGGTCAATCCAAAATGTTAACAAACCCTCAAACCTTAACATTTAAGTAGTAAAAGTGAAGTTTTGGCGTTCTTAAGAGAATATCTACATGTACACCATTATTAGGCAACTATTAGTGTGCAGAATTATTATGCAACTAAATGAAAAGCAAAGATCTCACTTGTTTATTTTCACCTGTTAAAGTGAGAATAATAAACAAACTCAATTTACAAATAAACATTTCTGAAATTTCAAAAAGAAAACCTCAGTGACCAATATAGCTACCCTTCTTTTCGATAACAGTCACAAGCCTTACATTCACGGAGTCAGTCAGTTTCTTGATCTGGTCAAAATCATCACTTGCCTAATAATTGTGCACACAGTGTATAGCGATCTGCAGATTTATATCAATTGAAATTATTGTTTGAATTTTGTGACAAAATTGACAGAATTTTAAAGCTGAGACCTTGTTTATATCAAAATTAACAAAGCACAAAGCTTATTGTGATTATTGGATGGGAAGCGTGCTATAAATAATGTTTAGTGATGTTAAGTAATATTTAATGTGTTTGCAAAACTATTGCCTTTATCTGGGCCTGAATCTTTGGATTCTGATCCCTCAGGTGCTGTAACATTTTAGGTGTGTTCGCTGTTTTAGTCATCACTTTTCATCTGCATGTTTTGCATATTGGATGCCCGTCTTCAACCCCTTATTGACCATTTTTATATAGCCAAAATGCTCCCAAATAGCTTAATTTGCATCTTCAGTGGAAGACCGGGAGATTGTGTTGTTCCACCCTGTTTTCATTTTGAGAGTTTCACATGTGCCTGTCCTAGACAATGACCAGTGAACTCGGCTAGTAACAGCATCACAGAGCATCCATTTGTCTCTTTCAATGCAAATAAGCTGGTGCACCGGCCCTCTGTTCAGAAGAGGGCAGAGCTTCAAGAGCTCATGCTCCAGCAATAGCAGTGGCCTCCTCTTAAAGGTCCCCTTTAAGACTGATAATTTGCAAAAAAAAAACAATATTTCTCTCTTTTTATTTGTCTCTTTCTATTTCTCAGTACCATCAGCAGGAAGAGAAAGAGAGCAGCTTCTCCACTGCAGCCCCCTGATCTCAGTGATAAAGCAGTGCTCTTTGATACTGTGTGAGTATATTCATGTAGAGAGAGACATTCAACACAAAAACAAAGAATATACACAGAAATAACAAGAGAGAAATATACATTTTTAGTTTATTTCTGCAATAAAGTTCTTTAGACAGAAAAATAAACGGAAAGTGTGTTCTCTTTTTTTTTTATCAGCAAATATAACACTAAAATGAAAATCATGATATAAAGAAAGAAAACTGAAAAGGAAAAATTCAATAGGTTATTTGTTAAATAAAGATGCTTCGTTAAATAGTGCTCTTGTGTGCTTCTCTATGTCTATTCCTTTTTTGTCTAATTACACAAAAGTTAAGGGACACAGTGGGATTTCTGCATCAGTGTAATATTGACAGTAATAAGAAGTATCTGTTGGCCACAACATATTTATTATGATTAAAATGAGCTTGTCAATCAAACTTTCTAAATGTGGTTGTGGTATGATTTCAAATAAGATAATTTAATATTAGAGACATAAATATTTTCTCTATTTTGAAAAAGGTCTTTTATATTTGTTTTTGTCTGTTCTGCTTAATGTCTTTTCAGTGGTGGGAGAGCTGACCAGATCAGATATGTGTCCTGTCAGACCTTCACATCCTCCTACTGTCAGAACCACTTCAGTCATCATGACACAGAAGCAGCTCAGCAGCATGATTCTCATCAACCAGTGCATGATGATCTGCAGAGAGTCAAAGATCAGCACAAGACCAGCATGAAGAACAAGTATGAGAGCTTATTTGAGGGAGTCAAACTACAAGAGAATCAGACCCTCCTGAACCAGATTTACACACAGCTGTACATCATAGAGGGAGAGAGTGAAGGAGTGAATGAAGAACATGAGGTGCTGCAGATGGAGAAAAGTTACAGGACACTCCAAGACACTCCAATCAACTGCAATGACATCTTTAATCCTTCACCTGAACCAGGATATGAGAAGAAAGACAAAATAAAGATGGTTCTTACTAAAGGCATCGCTGGAATTGGAAAAACCGTCTCTGTGCAGAAGTTCATTCTGGACTGGGCCGAGGGAAAAGCCAATCAGGATGTAGATTTCATGTTTGTGTTTCCATTTCGAGAGCTGAACTTGATTAAAGATCATTATTACAGTCTTCACAGCTGCTGACTCAGATCAACATAAGGAATCAGAAGTATGATGAGAGAAATCCAGAGAAACTCCTGCAGTCCAACAGAGAAGTGATTGTGAAACTTGCTGAACTGGCTTTCAATCAGCTGATGAAGGGCAATGTGATGTTTTATGAGGAGGACCTGAGAGAGAGCGGCATAGACGTCAATGACACCTCAGTGTATTCTGGGATTTGCACTGAGATCGTCAGAGAGGAGCGTAAAGCTGTGTTCATCTTTGATGGTCTGGATGAAAGCAGAATTACACTGTTTTCAGACAGTGAGACAGTTTCTGATGTGACTGAGATTTCATCAGTGGGCGTGTTGATGTCAAACCTCATGAGAGGAGATCTGCTTCCCTCTGCTCTCATCTGGATCACCACCAGACCAGCAGCAGCCAATCAGATCCCCTCTAACTACATCAACCGTGTGACAGAGATTCAGGGATTCAATGACCCGCTTCCATCTGCGCTCATCTGGATCACCCCCAGACCAGCAGCAGCCAATCGGATCCCTTCCAAATACATCAACCGTGTGACAGAAATTCAGGGATTCAATGACCCTCAGAAGGAGGAATATTTCAGGAAGAGAATCAGTGACGAGCATCAAGCCAGCAGAATCATCTCACACATCAGAAAAGCAAGAAGCCTCCACATCATGTGTCACATACCCGTCTTCTGCTGGATCTCATCCACTGTGCTTCAAAACCTCCTGAAACAAGATCTCAGTGCAGAAATCCCTCAAACTCTGACTGAAATGTTCATCTACTTCCTGCTCATTCAAACAAATATGAGGAACCAGAAGTATGAAGAGAGAGCTCCAGAGAAACTCCTGCAGTCCAACAGAGAAGTGATTGTGAAACTTGCTGAACTGGCTTTCAATCAGCTGATGAAGGGCAATGTGATGTTTTATGAGGAGGACCTGAGAGAGAGCGGCATAGACGTCAATGACACCTCAGTGTATTCTGGGATTTGCACTGAGATCGTCAGAGAGGAGCCTGTGATTTATCACAGGAAGGTTTACAGCTTTGTACATCTGAGCTTTCAGGAGTTTTTTGCAGCACTGTATGTGTTTTTCTGCTATTTACACAAGAACAGTAAGATTCTGAAAATGTTCCTGACAGGAAAGTTCAGAAATCAGTGTGAGAATGTTCCTCTGGATGTGTTTCTGAAGGAAGCAGTGAATAAAGCTTTGAGCAGTAAAAATGGACACCTGGATCTTTTCCTTCGATTTCTCCATGGTGTCTCACTGGAGTCCAATCAGAGACTCTTACAGGATGTACTGATACACACAGAGAACAACCCAGAGAGCATCAAGAGCATAATCAAAAACCTGAAGCGAGGTCAAAAAAACAATGTCAGTCCTGAAAGATGGATAAATCTGACACACTGCCTGATTGAAATGAAGGATAATTCTGTTAAAGAAATGCAGGCATTTTTAAACTCTAAAAAAAATAAAATAAAAAATCTTACACTTGCACAATGCTCAACTTTGGCAAACATGATCCTGATGTCAGAGGAGGTGCTGGAGGAGTTTGACATTAGTAAGTACAACATCAAATCAAAAGAGGGCAGAAGGAGACTGGTACCTGCTGTGGGGAACTGCAGAAAAGCTGTGTGAGTGTAAAAATCAAATAATATTGCAATATGAACATAATTTGAAAGTTGTGAGGAGGGTTTGATGAGTATTTTCTGGGTTCGTGTTCGTGTTCACAAGCATAAAACATAATTGACTGCAGTTATGGCTGTGTCAGCTTGACAACTGCCTTTCTGCAGTAGTATGCCAAATGAGTTTTGTGCCAAAACAGAGTTTTGCGCATATAAATTTTTTTATGTGGATATTAAGATACAAGTGAAGTACAAAGCTTTGTTTACAAAAGCAATAATTAATTATGCGGCAAATGGTACATCGCAACCATGGAAACATTTGAAATCAAGCTAAATGAGAGAGGTGTGTGAGCCCATAAATTAAAATTAAGTCGTGCACAGCTTTGTGTTCTGTTTTGTGGGCTGGTGACTTAAATTTCTACAAATGTAACAATATTTCATAAATATTTCCACTGAAACCTCTTGTTTCTTTTCCCAAATCCTCACTGTGTCACCCTCTGTTTTTGTAGGGGATTATAAATATTTATTTTCACGAGTTCCCTCATTTTAGTTAAATTCGGCTATGCTGTACTAATTAATTCCTTCAGTTTAAATTAGTTAAATCTTGGCCACATCAAATATAAATGTCTTGCTCATGTGAAATATATAATTTTCTGTTTGCTATAATTTGAAAACGGTGTCAATTGTTTTCGAATACTGGAAGAAAACATGAAGATATGAGACGAGATATTTTTTTGTCCTGCTCGTGTCCCACAGCCCTCTCAAAGTGCCTGATATATGATGAAACCTTTATCTTTGTAGGGAAATGGAACTGGTTAATGTAATAAAGAATCACTTATATTAGGAAAATGTTAAAGTCACCATAGAATATTATTTTTTAATGGAATATTGTAGTGTTTATTATAAACAATTTATTTGTGTACTTCATTCTTTTTTTAATTCATGTGCCCTCGTAATCTTTAATCAAAATGTTAACCTCCCCTCCTCCTCAAAACAACTCATCTTCTCTTCATGTCACAAGCTCTGACTTGAGGGCGGAGCTATCTGGGACTGCCATCAGCCTCAGTGACGTCAGTCATGTGAGGGGTAAACACAAGGATAAACAGCTGATGCTTCACTTTATAGAGATCAATGCATTGATCAGCGCTCACACCAGTCATGGGGGAGTACGGTAACCTTAAACATTAAAAAAGGATATTAGGATGTTATTATTGACTCTCTGTGGTCATTAAAAATCCCAGGATGTCCTTCGAAAAAGAGTACGGGTGTAACCCCAGCATCCTGGCCAAATTTGCCCATTGGCCTCTGACCATCATGGCCTCCTAACAATCCCCATATTCGGATTGGCTTCATCACTCTGTCTCCTCTCCACCAATAAGCTGGTGTGTGGTGGGCGTTCTGGCGCAATATGGCTGGCGTCGCATCATCAAGGTGGATGCTGTGGACTTAATAATATAAAAAAATGAAAACTATCTAAAACAAAATCAGATTTATAGCCCACTAACAAGTAACATTAGTCAAAACATAAAATGTTTTTATTTGTTTGTTAAACTTTTTGTATCGTTTTTACAGTCCTCTACAAGGGGTGTTGCAGGACCCTCAGCATTCCCACATCCCATGTCTAAAATCTAAAATATCTCTTAAAATGAAGCATGTTAACATTAACACTTTTTTGTAGATTATCTGGCTGTTTGGTGAAAATGATGACTGTCACATTTGGCCTGCAGGTCACAACTCGAAGCACTTTTGTTATTGTATTATCTCTTTATTACATTAACACTTAGAATACTTTTGTAGATTATCTGGCTGTTCGGTGACAGAAGAAGGTTGTGCTGCTCTGGCATCAGCTCTGAGTTCAAACCCCTCACACCTGAGAGAACTGGATCTGAGTAACAATGACCTGCAGGACTCAGGAGTGAAGCTGCTGTGCGCTGGACTGAAGAGTCCTAACTGTCAACTCAACATACTTGGGTATTTGGTGGTTGAGGAGATTCCCCCTTCTATGTAAAGCGCTTTGAGTGCCCAGAAAAGCGCTATATAAATGTAACGAATTATTATTGTCATTATGACAACATTACTTTTCGCACAAGGCAAACAATTTTTTTCATGAATATGACTTAACCTCATGGAGAATGCACTCAGTCAGTCAGTCTGTCTGTCTCTGTCTCTCTCTCGCGTGCTGCTTAGGCTTGTTTAGTGTCGTTGCTCATCCATGTGGTCGTTGTCCTCAATAAATAAAAAGGTTCTTTAAGCAAGGGTATTGGCAGGTATTCCGGTGGAGAGAAATCCGCCACAACTGACCGCAAACTGGCATTCAGATCTGCCTCCATTTTCTTAGAAACACCTAACGTCCAATGATCCAATCAATTCCCAAAGGGCAAAATCAAGTCCCGCCCTCTCATTTCGGATACTGTTTCACTCGGATAGATGTCACAGTAGAGAAAAAAAAGACAATCGCAACTTCCGTTTCAGTCCGACTTTAAAAATATTTGTAATGGCACTCAGCTATTAAAACGTTCCACAATAAATTACTGTAAAATTAAGAAGAAACAATTATTGAAGCATCACACATAATGCTCATAAAATATGACTTTTAAATAAGTCATGTCTTTACTTCCTAATGTAAAGACCAGAGAGTGAATGGTCAACCAGCATGATCTTTCCTGGTGACGTTTTTAATCGAGCATGACATCAGCACACCAGCATGCCTTTTAACCATTTCTCCCTTTTTCAGATTAACATCCTGTAAACTCACTGATCAGCATTATGAAATTGTGGCTTCAGCTCTACAATCATTAAACTCTTCTCTGAGAGAGCTGGACCTGAGTAACAATCACCTGCAGGATTCAGGAGTGAAGCTCCTCTGTGCTGGACTGAAGAGTGTCAACTGTCAACTCAACAAACTGAGGTTTGGCTTTTACATTTACTCGTCCAGTTTGTTAACCATCTGAGGTCGGTGAACCCTCCGGAGCATTCAGTTGTAGCAGAAAAACTTGAAATACTTTGTTGTTTTTGGTTGTACAGATAATAGTAAGATACCATTCAAAACTGTAAAACAGAAAAACTGTGCACTTTCTGCCATTCTGGTCTCTATGAACTTTTACTTTTAAATTAACCAATTCAAATCAAAAACAAATATTCACACTCTCCTGTGTATGAGGCTGCATAGCTGCTGACCAATCAAAGTGCCTATGACAAAGACGATGACATTGGGGGGCAGGGTTAGAAGGTTGTGCTGCTCTGGCATCAGCTCTGAGTTCAAACCCCTCACACCTGAGAGAACTGGATCTGAGTAACAATGACCTGCAGGACTCAGGAGTGAAGCTGCTGTGCGCTGGACTGAAGAGTCCTAACTGTCAACTCAACATACTTGGGTATTAAATTATTTATTTAA